TCGATATTTTCGTAATAGACGAGCCATCCTCGGTGATGATTAATTACTCCAACGTTCACATGCCCTTGCCAAATACCCACGAATTCTTTCAAAAAAGCTGACAAATTCTTTTCCTGAAGGTTCTGGGTAATAGCGAGTACATATTATAATCAGCATTAAATCAAGGAAAAATATTTAACCAAGTGGTAGAGTTATGGGACAACCTGACAGGGGTTCCACATTCAGTGAAGGCGATGGGGGAGAATCCTGTGCCGACGGGATAAAGACTTAGGTAGTGAGTGATCGAACGTCACAATGATTAACGCTAATGGACAAGGTATTTTTACAAACTAACGAAAATGACCGGTGGTTCTATCGCCTGAAGCATAACTGCCCGAACGTATGGAGGACGGCCTTTTCTACCTATCTGGGAACATTTTGCTCCAGCTTCACAATCATCCGTCATTCTCTGAAAATGATTTTTTTTGTGCGAATCGTCGACGAGTATGTTTTACCCACTCCCTCCTAACCAACCCCTTTCCACGTTACCGTGTGAAAAGAGGACATTTTATAGTTGACAGCAGGGAGTTCCGTCGAAGCAGGGATACCTACAACAAGCTACATGTATCACATGATGGGAAGACCTCCAATCCGATCTTCGATGTCAACCGTCTCCTAGAANGCCTGAAGCATAACTGCCCGAACGTATGGAGGACGGCCTTTTCTACCTATCTGGGAACATTTTGCTCCAGCTTCACAATCATCCGTCATTCTCTGAAAATGATTTTTTTGTGCGAACCGTCGACGAGTATGTTTTACCCACTCCCTCCTAATCAACCCCCTTCCACGTTACCGTGTGAAAAGAGGACATTTTATAGTTGACAGCAGGGAGTTCCGTCGAAGCAGGATACCTACAACAAGCTACATGTATCACATGATGGGAAGACCTCCAATCCGATCTTCGATGTCAACCGTCTCCTAGAAATAACCCGGATTGAAGTACCCTACGCGCTGTCTCGCTCCAGTGAATTGAAGGGGCTGCATCCAGAAAACAGGGCAGCAGCCTGATGGAGCACTACGGGCAAATGTTTAAACTGTCTGATGGTTAGGAACACCGGAAAACAAAACAAAACACCAGAAACTCCAGGTCCGGTCTTCCTAAGGTCTTCCAAGGAATCCTACATAGTAATCCCCGGATAACGAACTATGTGATTCGAAAAAAAAACCTGCCTTTGTACAATATTGTGTCGAGTGGAGTACGAGAGAGGTTGGAGTTATGAAGGATCGCATATCCGATGTAAACTCGAAGAAATACGAGCCCATAAGCTCAGAGGAATCGAACTGATCGTGAGGGTGATGGCCAACTCGTAGAGGGAGGGCGATGGCCAACTCGTAAAGGCTAAAAGAAAAATTTTCACACTGAGCATTTGACTTCAAAGCGGTCCGCTTATAAATTTGTGTTGCTTGAACCTCTAATATGCATGTATTTTTATTACACCTTGGCGGACGTGGCGTAGTGGAAGTGACGCTCTTTCACAAACACAAAATCCGGGGATCGTATCCCGAGCCGATATCTGCCCAGGTTGACCAAGCTTCGGTTAATCGGCGCCTAATTGGTACCAGACCCTTCCTAGAGGGTAAGGAGGATAACAAGGAGGATAACGGATAAAGTGACTTGTACATGGCCCCACAGATTTATTGGGTAGGTATTTCCATGTATTCGAAAAGCTTCCAACGATTCTAAGGCTAGTGGGAAGCGTATCGCAGGAACGAGTCCGATTGATGTCAAAAGACTATACCTCAAATATTTCTCTTTCCGTATACGTATGGTAAACGTATGGTAAATTACATAAACGAATTACCAGCTTGACACGCCTGCCTAAACAAGTTCGTGCACAGGGAATAGGTTGGAGGGTAGAGGGTAGAGATGAGAGATGAGACACTCGAGTTCAACTGACCGATGCAATAGTTCTTCCCTTGTCGTTCTCAGAGTAAGTTTATTTTATTCCTCCAAAAAAATTCGCCTAAACTCATGCCTTATCGAATTCTTGAAATCGTCGATTGTGATGATTAATTACGCGGTTCACATGCCCCTGTCGAACGCCCGACAACATATTCTTCGAAAAAGATAACATATATCTAAGTCGAAGGGCATAGGTTTTTGCAAGTAAATCGTGATCAGCATGAACCCGAGAAGATGCTTTTAGACTAGGGTTTAGAGCTGTCAGACAACCTCTTGACTGGCTACATGCCTTCCTCACTGAATTGAAGAGTGCAGGAAATCTAAGCGAGCAGGATGGAAGCTACATGGTGGGTAATCAAACGCCTCAATATTCGGTGCTGGTCGATAAGGGACGGAACCACGTAAGATGGGAGGTGACATAACCCATTGATATACCACGACAACAGTGATGGATGGGATATTTCTCCCTATCTGACCGACCATATCTCAGTCCAAATTCGTAACCTCCCGCCATCGTGCGTGGAAATTGTACTTTTTCGCGACTCTTATCGACATGGCGGCTTTTTCGACCTCCTCTTCCTTCCAGACTCTCTTCCCATCCCATTCCACCCTTACCCCTTTCACATCCACCATGGAGGAAGGAAGCTACCATCGAATACAAAGAAAACTTGTGCTCTGCTTTCAAACATCTATCGCAACTACACCTTGGACATGACTCGGATCACCAATTACTTTGTAGTAATTAATGTTCAGCAGGGGAGTAGACCGGAAATTTTTCTGTTCACCCGTTTCGATTTTTGATTCCCTTTCGAGTCTCAATATTCCAAAAAGTGACAGCAGTCGGTATGTAACGGTTACTTCTTTCCTTGCAATCAACGCTACTATTTCCCAGCAATCTAGAGTGCCAACGTATTACTCTGCGCGAGTGGTCCTCGGAAGACAGATTTCTGCTTGAGACAGATCTCTGCCCTCCTCTTTCGTCGCTTACAGAAATCGTGGAAGTCACCTACAGCCTCAAGAACAACTTGAGCCGCAAGTTTTGCCTCAACATGCCTTATGGGTGTGGTAACGGCCGTCTTCTTCATCGTGTCTTTTCCTCATTTCTCCTGACTAAGTGACTTAGCACATCTCCCTTGCACATCTTGTGCTAAAGTTCCCCGAAGGACTCAGAAAAACCAACTAGAATTATGAATTGAACATGCTTGGCATCGTCCTAAACTCTGTAATAGCGCTCAAAGGGTATACTGGAACGGCTTGCAGACAGATTAGGTCGGGCTTAACTAGCTGTTTCCGCTTTTGCAAAAAGTGTAAAAATTTTATGTGCAGAAAGGAAAAGTGCATTGTTACCGTAGACCCGGAGAAGGGAAGTGCATATCAAATTCAATTTCCGTTCTGTTCAACAAGATCCTCGTCCCTAAGGGTTTCGTACTTCGTTGAACTAGTTTCGGGAGAGTTGGAGACAACAGAAGGCATTGGCAGCCCCAGCACTAGCTTATTTGAAGGATCAGACAAGGTTCTTTTTACAGTGACCAACCCAATACTGGTATGGGATCTTCGACTTTTAATTTAGTCAGTCGTAGCTGCCTTACTCCGCATAAACATCGGCTTGCAGGAGCTTTGCAAACGTGCAGGTCCTTCCACATATGAATGTTTGGAACCAAGTCAACATTTCCCAAGCAATCGAAGGATGACCGAGATACGAAGGGATCCCAGACCATAGATTTTGGGTTGCAGGCAAGTTTATGGTAAATCGAGTATAGGTGAAATTTGGTCTTCACTAGGATTATTTGAAAATTTCTGAGAGTCACCTGGCAGAAAGTTCCATTTTGTATATTTCAATGCGTAGAGGGGATCAGCAAATTTTAAGAGGTGAAGCCCCAAAATCGCCATCAATGGGATTACCTCATCACTTTTGCAAGCTTATGGGAGCATCCCGATAAAGACAACATTTATGAAGGTAATCGATGGTCGTTAAGATATTGCTGGCAGAAAAAAAAGGATCAAAGGTCCTCAATAAATGACCTCCGTCGGAAATTCTTAAATCAATGTGCCAGTATGGATTTGAAGGAAGATCTGAAAGGGAGTAAAGCAGCAGTTCTGTCTAAAAATCGCCAACAGTGAAAAGAGCATTCGCGACACCCTCCAGAGTTTCCTCAATTACAAGGCGGAGATGACATCGCGGTACCAGCCGAAATGCAAGCTACTCACGAGTGGCGCAACCCCGGACGAAGAATAGCCGTGCAAGCAAGCACGGCTGTGGAGATGGTCCAATACAATCGATAACACCCACTCTGCTCAGGACTCATTGAGGTTCGCGAGAATACAGGATACCGTTGTGTCTGAAGTCTATGTCTGTCAAGGGCAACCAGGGTATTCATGACATGAGCTTCACCATTAGCATCGTCATCGTCAACGTAAAGAAAAGAGTTTGCCAAAGCCATATTATCTCGCACAAGCTCTTGAACGTCGCTCCCAGAAAAAGCCCCATGCATTTCGGAATGAGAAGACATGGATCAAATCTCGACAGCTGCAAATCATATTATCTCCGCTTTGTAGGCATCATACTTATAACTACGATTATCGAGCAGGTGGAACGAATGCTCGCGAAGCTCGGCCGTGCTTGCGGAAGGATCAGCTCGCAACTGAACGAAACCAGATGGAGATTCATGAATAACGAATTCCTGATAATCCTTTCATGCTCAATGCTACTAACACCTCCAAATAATCTAGCTACGTGTGTCTAGGACGAAAGGTCAGCTGATGGAAGACCGAGTTACGCGAAACGGAAGGGCGAAGCATTGGGGAGCATTCTGAAACGTTAAGGTTCTGTGACGATGACAAAAAACACTTGGCTACTGCCCTTCCTTTAGGGTCTTAAATTCTTCCTGGATTGACCTCGATGCTTCAGAGACTTGGGTTCTACCCCGGGAGATAGAGCGAGCAATGAGCGCCATTCCGCAGGAAGAAAAACATTCCGTCTAGTCTGTTACACCCAGGAAAAGAGCGAGGACGGTTTTCAGCTCCGTTAAGGAACAAAGCTGTTGCTGACGCCAACGAATCAATTATCGGGTGGACCGGACATGTTGCGAATTTGTGATGACCGTTCGACCGGTAGGGTTTCTGGCTGGATTCCGCGAGGCTTGAAACGAAAACCAGTTAGAATGACACCCTGAAGGTTAGTGCTCTTCAGAAATGCTCTGTACGAAAGAAACTGAAATGGTCCAATGGACTGAAGTGTTTAAGGATCTGCTTTGGTTGGAGATGATATTGACGCCCAGTTCAACAAATCGATTATCAAAGAACGACAGGCGATAAATAATTCAAGAATATTTCTGACCCAGAAGTGAGCCTTCCTCGAGTTTTTCCCCGGCCCTAATTGGCTTCCTTCACTTGTAAGTCCTATTCGCATGAATTTGGTTGTTCAATAGGGACGCCCAGGGAGAACCCATGGGATTCACTCGACACACATGGACCCAGCACAATACTTGAGTGTTCCAGTGACGTGTTTCCGAGGGGGGTACGTCCTTGCCTTTTGCGTCACAATCGCAATTGAGTCAGCACATTTTTCTTCAGCAATTCAACATTTGCAGCAGCTTGCTTGCAGAAAGGCGCAAGAACAAAGCCAAAAAATGGGCTTAACGTCGACGTGACGTTTATGTTGGCCTTTAGCCGCTGAGAGGAGCTGATTGCTGCAGAATCTTCCAAGGGGGAAGCATTACGGAAAATCTTATTCAGCTTTTTCTCCATAGAATATCTTGTGCAGATAGATCAGAACATTGGAGACCAATGAGTTGTGTCGACTAGTTCAGATACGCCATACTTATTTTCTACTTTCGGTAATCGTAGAGGCATTTGAATGCAGATTGGGCTTTTACAATGACCTATCAAATTCTGCCAATATCTCAAACATCTCCCAAACACTTTCGTAGGTAATAGGCACTGACCTGAGCCCAATATGAAGGGTGGTTCAGATTAATGTCTAGTTCCGGCCCTATTCGCTTTAATACTCCACCACAGTCGACCGTCATTCCAATTACCCAACAGAGCACCTTAATTTAATTTGCCATCAAGAAGTTTGTTATTCTAAGATTCTCAGCACTCTATCACGTCAACGAAAGAGGCCAAGTTGGCTTTGTTCAGCAACTAAGTGTAAAACAGAAGCAAAACACATTTCCGTCCATTAAAAATAAAAAAACAGAGGTTCTGCATACCCTGCAGTCAAGTTCTGCCTCAGCCTCTTAACACTGACCACCTCCTCCCTTTATGTATGCTTTAACATGAGCTCTGTAGCAATACAGATGGTTATGGAAATGAATTGAGGAAATTCCCTCAGGAGTAGCATTCCTAGACCCGTCATTGTCTGCTTTGAGTTAATTTGACATGTTTCAGAGTATACTTGTTACTAAGCATATAGAAATCGAACAAAGTTAAACCGTGATTTTTCGTGAAGAAATAGTGAGTTTCCACGAAATTCTTCTCAAGTTTTAAATTTACTGAATACTTGGGAGCTATTCGATTTGAGAGGAAAAAAGTAAGAACTTCACTCAGATGAGACAAACATTTAAGCAAAAGTATTTGGCTTAACACGTTGACGACGATGTCGCGCAACGGTGCGCGACAGCCAGTCTGTCTCATGGGACGATGTCGCGCAATGTTCTTCGATCAAAATGTGTTTCCTCGTTCTGTTTTTTGTGCAGTTTTCCAATTTAGGCCTACAAATGTCTAAAATAGCACTGGCCACTTATTTAATGATTCCAAGACCAATGTTTCATTTTTATTAGCAACTAACAATCATGAATTGTTTGAAAACAATCCAGGCAACAAAATTTATTACATTTACTGCATTTTGACTTAGTTCTCTTGGCCAGGCTCCTCGCAGTCGACCTGCCTGATGTTCCAGGGATCGAACTATGGCAGTCGGAGCAAAACCGTCTGTCCTTGGCCTTCGCATTTGGATCAGCCACCAGCTTCCGCTTGCGTGCTCTCGAACACTAAGATGGGAATTCGGTCCGACACTCGGCTCTTACAGTAAACCCCTGGCCTACCCCACCACCCACCCCCGTGTCCTTGTCCAAAGCCCCTTTTCGACGCGTCGTATATGTGACGGGTGAAAATTTGCGTATTAACACGTGCCGGATTACTGTAAGAACCGAGTGCCGGACTGAATTTTCGTTCCTGTCTCTCGAACTACTTGTCGTCGTGTCGTTGAAGTTCTTGTACAGCAAGTCGTCCACAATTAGCTCTTTGAAGTAGTTTATCTTGATTCTCTTGATCTTCTCGCAATATAAAAACCAAGCATTGGCTAAGGCAGTCTGGGTTACGAGATGAAAAAGTAGTCGAATATACCATTTCGATGACTTTCTCACAAACGGAGTATAGGCAGCCATCTGGTCGCTGAGATCAACGAATCCCTTCATCATGTTGTAATCAACCACAACCGAAGGTTTGCCGTTCGGGTGAAAGCTGGCGTCGTGTGTCGTAGAAATCATATGGATGTCTTTTTTGTCTTTCCACTTCAAAATTAGTACTCCTTCCAGGTTCTGCTGATAAATAAACACTCCTCTCTGCAGTTTTTTGTCTCGGATGATTTAAGGGATGCCTCTGAGATTTCTTCGGAGGGTTCCAACAATGTCGGTCTTCTTCTTGAGTAGATTGTGAGCAAGCGGTAAAGTGCTGTACCAGTTATCAGTACAGAGGCAACGTCCTTGCATAAGGAAACCATCCATCAACTCCATTACTACAGCTTCTGCTACACTGGTTGTCCGTTTTGGATCCTTTCCGGCGTAAACCTTGACCTTCTGGCTATAGCCAGCACGAGAGCAGAGCCTGAAGAGTTTGATTAAAAATCGGTGACGCTTCGTTCCATTGTACTGCCAAAATGAAACGCGACCTCTGAATGGCACCATCGACTCGTCGATACACAGTTCTCTTCCAGGTCTATACAAAGCTTGAAAACGGTTATTCAAGTAATCGAGAACAGGCTGTAGCTTGTAAAGCATATTCGCCCTGTCGGCGGCAGTGTTGTCGACAAAGTGGAGGTGCTTTTGGATTTCTTTCTCTCGATCTCTAGTCATAAAATCTCCGGCGATCGAATGTCCATTTCTGGCCAAGTTCCGAGGTTTCAGCGACCAGTAGTTACGCTGATTATCAAATGGACAGCGGGACATCTGTAAACAGAGGCCGAAGAATCTTTTCAGTTCTTCTGTGTCGGTAGGTGTCCAATTATGATTTTTTTGCTGTCCGTAGACGTTGGTCTGGTGAGTTACCATATCAAGCAGTTCTTCAGAGAAAAACAGCTCATAGAATTGGAGAGGCGTCTCGCAGTTATCCACCTCTAGATCGGTTCCAACAGGCTCTGAAAAGGTCCATCTATCGTACCTTTGAGCATCGTTAACCCATATGTTTTCTGCTCCATCATCGTAGTCATCATCGGATATTTCAGTATCAGAATCATCTGTATCAGGAACAACAGCTGGAGCCATATCGTCGCCATCTAAATCACCTGCAGCATCGTCGTCGCTGTCGCGCAGCCAGTTGTCAAAACTTTCGTCGAAGTCTTCCATTTCGATATCCGGGGTACTCATGGTGACAAGAATAGTCGCGAGGATTATAATACTCTCAGAGATCCTATTTATATACCCCTAATTCAAATTTACCACCGCCAAATTCGAAATTACCCCGAGTAGCCACGAATCATGAGCAAAATTTGAATATTGCTAGAATGTTTACGAAATATTTTATCGTACCAATTGTTTTCAAATGTTCTTGACCGTAGTCACTCATTTTTTTGGGAAGTAACAAATTTCCACGAAAGAAACTGTCTCGTCCCACAGGACAGACACGAAAAAATTGGCTTGTCGTCAACGTGTTAATAGAAACTATTTACACCGAAAAAGTCATGTGATCCTTCATACCATGAAGGTTGTCCCAAATCTAACCTTCAGAACACTGGCTTCTAAACTCAGAATTCTGTAGACACACCAAGTTTATAAGCTCAAGTGCATGGACACTCATCCGTTCTAACGTTTTGATATGAATAGAATAAACAGTAAAAACTGCATTGAACCTCTTCAGGTCAAAATGTACGTTGGAAATGCACGAAAAATACCAAATTTCCAGGTCCTCATCTATAAATGGGTACCAATAGGAGGGTTGGAAGCAGTTAATGTAATTCGAGCAAAAACAAGGCTTTTTTTGTAAGTCCTAACTCGCTACCCCGGCATCCCCTCATCCCAACTCCCCTGCTCATCCTATTGGGACCTGTATATTTTGGATCTACAACATACAACATAACCCACACCCTCAGCAAGAACTACTATGCCCCCTTGAGGTAGCAGGACCGACATAAGCCGATCCCACAAAACTGATTTGCTAATGAACATGACGTCTATGGGCCACAGCACCGATCGATAAGATAGTTCTATAATTTTTGTTTTTTTTTTCGTCTCCAAATATATTTCGACATTGTGTTCTGAAAATAGTCCTATTTTCAGATAATATTAAGCTAGTAAGGTCATACTCGAACTGATGCTATGCATGCTTAATCAATTAAAAATATTCACTTGACAGGGCGAAATGAGGAAGGGTGGCACATAATTTCAAATATAGTCTCTTCAAATAGTACTGAACAGTAATAATCACAAAACAGTAACATTCATGAAATCAGAAATCTTGATATCTTGCCCATCATGATGTCGTTGTGAGCAAGAAATGACCTGAAGCGAAAACTGACTCTTAAGATTTCCAATTTTTTCAGAATTAATTTTTCCTAGGGTTCGTAGTGAACCTATGTTTCTGAACCATGCTATTTATGAGCCAAAGCTGGGGTAGTAGGAAATAGCGCTGGCAGTATATATAGCTATAGTACCAACCTATTCCTGCCAAATGCTATTGTAGCGAAGTGACGCACTATCACGTGCAGGGTTCTTTGGTCGAATCGGGGATTGGTATAACAAAGCCTTTCATCACTCCTTGCAACTGGTAGCAGACCTGTCTAGGAGGATGAAAGCACTTGATTGTACATTGCTACCAGAAGTCATTGTATAGGTCGTGTATGCATTCAAACGCCTCTACGACTCTGAACAGAAGTCGAATGCGGGGCGCATTCCAAAAAGGGACCAATCAACACTTGAAGACTTTCAGACTTCGTTTAGTTCCAATTTCAAGCAGACCTCCAATTTTTATTGAGCCCAAACTAACGTTCCTACATGCACAAAAACTCATTATAGTCTCTTCTGGTGTATCGGTTTTACACTTCGATATCGTGGACTATTTTGAGCTATAAAAAATGCAAGCAAAAATCTCACCTGATTCGCACTTGCTGACGGGCGTTGTGTAGTGCAGAACTCGAATATTTCCAGTAACTTTGACATCAACTAAAAATGATCACAGCCAAACATCGGTTTCAAGAAGGTTTCTTTATGAAGTTTCGCTACAGCTTCAAGCCAGCGGAGGTGGATAATGCCACCTCTGTACAAACGGAAAACAGTAGCATGTATCAACTTACGAATTTTTCCAATTCATCCCCTCGCAGCTTCATCGATAACGCATTGATAATCAGTATCCCTAAAATCGAAATAGTTGCTGAATTCGCTCATCATTACAAAAAAAAAATAGAAAAAAAGAAAACAAAGAATTGAGCAAAAATGTTATGCCAATATCAGGTTGGAATATTTCCTCAATGGTCAATGGAACAGCTTGAAGCAACTCGAAATAGGGAGTGGGGGAGTGTCGTGAAAAGAGGTCTGGAGTGATTTGAGGTCGAATAATTCTAAGCCTCATACCCCGTCCCTGATTTATTTTGAAAAGGATGTCGTAAACTACGCATAAAATAAAAGATCAGCGAACGACGATAGAAAGAACTAACCATGAGGTCCGACAAGCCGAGCAATATCTTCCAAAATCCTCTTATCAAGGAAGCCACTGACAGGGCAAAGAGTGTCCGTGTAAAGAATCCCACCACTGCATGCATCCAGAAAGATTATGTCATAAGTTGAACCTAAAACGAAGATGAATAAAACTGAAACGTCGTCATTTACAATAGTTTGCGAAGTGTGTCACACGGTGAGCTTCCTCTCAAAATTGCAAACGGCATTTGGAAGCATATTCGCATGAAAAGCAATTGCTTCCAGAGCCAATGATGTCTGAACCAGTCACACCAACTCTGACGATGACTTTCCTTCTAACCGATGAATGTCGAACAAGAGTCGAGGATAGGCAACGAACTTACTGCTTGACACCCTTACTCGTTGATAGGGTACGATCGACTGGAATCGCCTAACACCCACGGTGCGTTCTAAGCCTAAGTCGCCTAGATTCCCCCTTTTTATACTATTTTTTTTTNTTTTTTTTTGTTTGGATTTGATCCTCATTAAATTCGAAATAGTGAGGATTGGAGGGCATGAATCCAAAATGGGCAAGCTAGAAGTAAAAAAGGAGTTCTACAACGCAGTCGAAGCAAACTCAGAGGGCTTTTTTTTATTTTCTTTAAAGCGTCACCTAAAAATCATAGACTCTCAAATACTGAAGATAAAACCGTTCTTAGAATTACAACAAATCGTTCTGCGGAATATTCTTTTCCTCATTGCTAGAAGCTTATGATCGAACCTCGTTCTGCTTCCTTCGCTACGAACTTCATTCCGTCATCTACTTTCACCTGATGACGTTCACTCAATTCCAGTCCGAACCATTTCTTAGCCATAGAAAACATTTGTTCATCATATTCAACAACGGTAATATCCATCTAAATGAAGGGTAATTTTTTCGAAGAACACGCTAGATATAGGAAGGGAAATCTCTGAAGTCAACAACAAAAGTCAAGAATTCAGAGATGCCCTGGGCATCAGCTCTAACACTACAGCCCGAATATTGTGCTTCCTTCACAACAAAGTTATATCTCCCTAGGAGAAATTTCTATGAAAAAGGATAAAGTCTCTGGACGTTAATCAACCCACTCTGATAGATTCGCCCCCGTATTCGACTTCCATAGAATCGTAGTGGCGTATTGAATGCGTACGTGGCCTATACGATGACATGCTGTGGTTAGCCGATGTACAAGTCAGTGCTTCTATCCTCCCAGATGAGTCCGGTATCAATTAGCCGACTTCGACAGGGAAGGAAGGCTTGGCTGGTCTAGTCGGATAACGATGCGAGATCCCATCCTCGGACCACGAAAGTGTGATAGGGCGCCACTTGTCACCACACTACCTTCGGCCTTTATAATACTATGGAATTGAATTGACGTATACCTATATCTTTTGTCCCCTTTACATTCTTTTCCGAAAAGACATTTCTCCCAGAATTTCCCGAATAGCTTCCGACCCTATTTAATTTAAGAAGCACAAATTGGAGTGACTGACTATTTGGACTTCCACACAGGCTAGTCGACGATTTTTTAGCAATTAAAAAAAAANNNAATCAATCATATTAAAAATCTTACATTCGACTCAGCGCATTTAGTTTACTCTGTCTTATGTCTTATGCGAATTACAAGAATATATATAAAGCAAACCTGTGGAAAGAAGTGATGAAGCATACTGTTTATGGCTCCACCACCAAGACCTATACAAAGTATTGTAGCGTGAGTTTCCCTCGTCAGCGGAACGGCACCTCTGATTTGAATCATCGAGCCTAAAGTTTATGGTCACGTCGTTTGTATGTAAAAGGAGAAAGAATAAAGTCGTTGGGTCTGATCAATTCCACTACTGGGATGCGCCCCTTAGTCGATTAGAATTCAGAATCGTAGGAGCGTTTTGAATACATGTGTGGCATGTACAGTGTGCGGCGAGCTGTCACGAGTCACTGTACAGGCCACACATGCACTCAAAACAGGCTTTTATCCACCCAGACGAGTTTGGTATTAATTAACCAACTCCCTGAGGGTTAGAAGGCTTGGTTGGACTAGATGAGTATCGATCGGTAATCATAAGACCATTGCAATAATAACGACCAGAACACGGATCGATGTCTTTGGAGCGTGGCACTGCACACAACCCTAGAAAACCTTGGCAACATATTAATCTAACGGCTCCTGAAATTCTCTGCGCTCTCTCAGAAGAGTACCTATCGGCCACCATCCAGAAATCAACGTGCACAACCTTCTTACGCCGAAGCCACGGGTTCTCCGATCAGAGGGCAATGTACGAGGCTTAGGAGTAATTCTACAACCACGAATATCTGACAACATCTTGAAGGACCGACACAAGGTTGGTCCAGGTACAGGAATTATCGATACCAGGAGTGATAATATTGACCAGACTTCCTCGCTCAAGTAAATGAGAAAGCAATACATGCACTAAGTTCCCTACAAACATCTGGACAGAGTCCGAATGCAGGGCACGTCCTGAAACACCGACCGACCTAGTTCTTCATCAAAAATGCAATAGTTCATTAACTCACCAATCATAGCTTGCATGTACGAATTCGCAGCAATATATGTTTTGTCGATTTTCCATTTGACTGTATCAATGTGGTCTTGCGAAAATTCTAGAACAAAAACTATACCAAACTGTGGAACATACAGTAGTTTGAAGACATATCAATTAAACTGGTGAGTGATTTCCCGGTTGCAAAAATCCCCTTGTTCAACATCTTTTTCATTAAGGTTATAACAGATTCCTAGGCATCCCTACGATCACGAGAAATCAAGCATTGGAAGTTTGCAAGTGTTAATCATATATTTAAAAAAAGTTAGTTAAAAAATTAGTTCAAAGATGTCTGCAATTTTTCTGAACGCCCTGTATAACCTGGTGATAATTATGATCTCGTGCCGCTACAATGAAAAGCCATCAGACTTAATCAAATTACAATGTATATGTACGTGTAATATCTGCGCCCTTAACCTTGCCAAAGCCTTACTAGTCGCTAATCTACCTGATCTATTCAGAATTCAATTTGAAAGCGACCACCGGTGGGTGCTCGGTACCGATGAACGGATTCCAGTAGTTAGGCTCAATAGGAGGAGCTTGTGTGGTGGGTGGAATTGCAAACCCCTCCCACCTTGCAGTGATCAAGTTTGCACCCAAGCTTTCTGTTGTACTTTAATGGCACTAGCGGGTATAAAACTTGCTTACCTTCAGGTGTTTCTAATAGAACAGTCGTATGTGTTCCCAGTGTGAGTTCGGCCAGTCTAAATACGTACAACCTGAAAAAATTTGACTCAGTAAACTGGGCATCCGACCCTATTTCAAGCCTTTCATCCGTCCACAATCTACTCCCACTCCTTCCTATGACTTCCGCAAGTGTTGCCAAGCCTGCACAACGTGAATTGATCTTGTGGGAAAGGAACATCGCGCCCACTTCACCAGAAAAACACCCGATCTTAGAATCGAACAAAGTCACCTGTAAGGTAGAAGATTTTCACGGGCTCCACTCACCACACTAATCCTTCTCCGAACTAATGAGATCCGCTCTCCTCTATAATATGATACTTAGTAACAAGCGAAGTAGCTCGCGAAATTGGTACCGTTTACTTTACATTGCAGAGAAAATAGGTTCTCGGGTGAGTGACACTGGAACTTTGAAAAAACTAATCCCCAGACACCTTGCACCTGTATTAGGTTCGAAAATCGCCTCACCTTGTACCCTTGCAATCCTTTACTTTTTTCGAAGGGAAGCTCAGACTTTCTGAAAAAGAAACTTCTGCTTGTAACCAACCTTCCATGTTTATTCCGTATGACATCGCAGACGTTAACAAAGCTTCCATCCAAGAGTTCAATGCGTTCGCTGAAGGAAAAACCCTGATACTGTTGTTTAGCAAGCGAACATGTAGTAATGAAACTTTGAGCAAATACAGTAAAGATTTGTGACAGATCAGTTAGCCACATAGGTATGGAAAAAGCCATCTTACAAAGAGAAAAAAATTTCTTTGAAGTGACCGCAATAGATAATGTCCACAACTTTCCTATATAATACAAATCAATAATGAGTACTGGTTTGAAGACGTAACAAACAAGCGTTCTACTACGATGCAGTCTGACAGAGGAATTAGGGTATGATGGGAGTAAGGTGAGCGTGGTTCGTTATGACGGCAAACCCACTCAAGAAGCCAGGTGAATTGTTTGGTTGTTGAGCAAAATCCACGATTCCAGTGCTTACCAGTTAACAAAGGTGTGTAATTGGACCGTTTTAGTAAGAACTCTAGAAACTGCACAGACAGGCCCCACAAAAGATCTGTCAGAGCCACCTTATCATGAAAATTTTTACCCTGTTCACATTACAAACAGGTTACCATCTCCTGAACGGTGAAGGATAGGTCCCTCAAGATGGCTGTCCTTCATTGATAACAATAGTGATGGGTAGCGCCGTCAGGTACCACACATACACATACACCCATACCACCTAAACTTCCCTTCCTAACCGGAAGCAGAGTTGAGTTAGCTCCAAGTAGCGTCGCTACCACACCCATGATCAGAAAATTATCTCCTGCATAAGTACCTACACAGGTCACTCAAGTCTTTCGCTCTAATAGATTTGATTACATGAAATAACGCCTGTCTGAAAGGGCAAATGGCTGGAAAGACAGCCATACCACTGAAGTGTCATCGATGACATGACATGTATTAAGACTTTTCACAACTTGATCTTGCACTTTTGCGCACTAATTACGAAAACCGTACCATACCGTAAAGCGTACCGGCCGTAAAATCGTCCCGTTACAGTCGCACTGCTGACTCCACCAATGTCTTTACCGAATATGCCTAATCCTGGCAAAAAAAATTACAAAAATCAGAACGACTCACAGGATTCTCTTTTCACCGTAGGTCATATTAATCAATTCGAAAAATTCCGCTTCAGACATCGACATCGATCTATTATGATACTCATGCTTCACGGTTTTGAATAAGACAGTGCAACAATAAATTGCCAATATCTGAAACAAGAAGAGCTTAAAATTCAAGCAAACTGGGACAAGCATACGAAAAAATTTAATTTAAAGAACATGAAGGATTTTTTTTGTAATCTTTATCGTTATGAAATACATCATGTAGTCTTCTTAATGGAAATCTTTGATAAATGGAAAGGAAACTCACTCCACTGGAAACTCCGATGCAAATTTTTCGTGGTTTTAACTGAACTTTCATTCTGAGAAGGGTGTTGCACACTGACTTCGATTCCCTTCAGACTTCTAGAAGAAAATATGATTATCAAAAAAATAGAAGAATATAAAGGTGGAGGTGATGGTGATAAGGAAGAAGAAGGAATGTTAAGAGCTATTTTCAGTGAATATGACGGTTTGGACATCTCATCTAGAATCTGTCTGAAGACTATCTAGAAGAGCTTTCTCTACCATGTAGACAACCCACTGAGGATCTATGGCTCACCTCAAATGAGCGAACTTGACTTTCTCTGTGAAGAAATCCGCGACAATGGCTTTGGAAAGACCTAAGTAGAGCCACAATGGACTCCAGATCTTCCAAGCTTCTCCGGTTTTATTAGAATTGAAGGCAGTCCGAGCAGAAAACAGTTCGCTGACACATCAATATTCGACGTTCGCTCATAGCACAAGAAGCGATTTCCATATTAATGTTGTTTTTCGGGAAGGAGACCCATGTTCAACATAACCAGCCTACTTACATGAATAATTTGAATAATGATGTGATTAATGACAAGCTAGTTGAATGATATGCTCGATTGGAACGTACCTACAAGGATGGCATCGTCCGTCATATTTCTCTGCCTCCTGCTTCTTTATTCCTTAGTTACCTCCTGAGATCGTGGTATACCACTGTACGGAAGTACACCCTTTTCTCAGAAGGCCGCTGAAACAAGAACATTTTCACTGTCATATCATACAGAATTTCAGAATGAGTCTTTTATGTTTTCGAAGCATTCCAAATTCTTCGCTTGATTCTAATTTTTTTCAGGCCGAACTCTACAGAGTACGCCATAAACCTGGTAACAGCTTCACCCAGCAGAAGCGTGATTTCCGTGCTTGGGTGGTTTGGGAAATCCGCACTTTCTATTATTTTTGCAAAACTTCTTAGCTCATATATAACCTTTGTTGCTCCCAATTCGTCAACTTTCCGAGAAAAAAAAAATGAAGCCCAGACCTCATCCAGCACCCATTCCGTCTTTGCGCAAATTGGTGAAATATTTTCTAGATTGTTCCGACAATTCCACCACTATCGTCTGTTGAGCCGAGGATTGTAATAAGCTTTGATAGGTTATGTTGTCTCAATTATGATCCACTTTCTGACGGCAAATGTTAAGGAAAGATTGTGCCGCGAATCTGCAGAAGCAATTTCAACGAGAAAAGCCGTCACCGAGCAACTGCAACTATATTCAGACAGGTTTCAAATGAATAAATGTCAAGTCCTTACCATACGCGGCACATGCCTCACGCGCTTTTCACTCAAATAGAACAAAAGTTCAATTCCCATGGTCCATGTCTGTTTGCCCCTAGTTGCCACGAGCTCCTCGGTATTTAAAAAAAGTCCGACTGGATCTTGCAGGTAGTTCCCCGAAAACAACGAACTTTCGTTAATTGTCAACAGCAATTTAGGGCAAATATCCTGCCCTACAATCCGTGACGGTTGAAGCAGAAGCAGGAGCTTGCTCATAATCTACTGGAAGACAAAAGAGCCACTCTGTCAGCTCATCTACATACAACTAATAGGTGTGCCTGGAGCAACGTCTACAGCGTACATCGGTCTGGCACGATGGTTCCACACTCTCCGTGCTATCTTTTGTTATCAACACGAACAGAAGCGATATGACCACCACCACTTCAGCTCACGCAAGGCAACGACAAAGTCATTGTGGAGGACAATTGCGCTATTCACTGAAGCAGTTCGGATGCTCTAGTGCATGGCAGAACTGTCCTGCACAATGGCTTTGTCGTTGTCCCGCGCGAGTTATATTGGTTCTCTTTTTTTACGTGTGACTGCACGACTGCTTCACTTTATCCCAAGCTGCATTTGCGGTAGCGGAAATGTTCAAGATCATGTGGCTTTTCAGCCATGGCCAAAACCTCTAAAGTATAATACTCCCTCATTTTCGAGACCAACAACCACATCTTTGCAAGACCAAACGGCTGCTCTCTATCAAACTCCAAAACCATAGCCCTTACAAGGGAAGGATCCCAAGTCGAAGTGGCCATTTGAAATGAGACCTATACTGCTGGACGTATTTTTTGATGCTGATTTCAAATCTGCATTCAAAATCTGCCAAACGATTCTGTGAACGAAGTTATGGAGGTGGTCTCCGGAGAGCGCT